AGGAAAGCAGACTCCAAATTTGACTTTGGGTAGAGCCCTAAGGTGGATTAGACTGTCATTCTGCCCACCTCAACTGCAGGCTGTAAGCGGCTTACTTGCAATATGACAGATTTAGCAAAAGTGACAGTTGCTTGCTGTCCAATATCATTAGCTTGCCTTGCTGCAAGAGCTCAGACATGGTGCTCCATCTCCTTACAAAATCAGCTTATTAATAAGCATACAGCCTGGTACACTATTTTCCATGCAGCTGAAGCAGTACTTTGAGCAGGAGGCTGCCCAATCCACCCATCTATGGAGACTCAAATTCACATTCTAGCCAAGATGAGGTCAGAACAACAAACAAGCTCAATCAACTAGCATGTGAGAGGGAAAGAGATGGCTAAGCATCTGTGCTTACCTTTATTACTCATCCTTTGTTTCTTTTATTACTCGGGTCCTCAAGTCTATGGAAGGGATAGCAATCTAATCAAAAGGTTGCTGAAGTCAATGAAAACATTGCAATTTATTGTTCTGCCTTAGGCTCAGCTCCCCAAGGTATCAGACACCATCAGCACCCTCCTTTCCCTGGCCAGCAGGGCTCAGCACCTTCCCAAGGTGCTCTGTGTCAGCAGTTAAGAGCCAGACTGCTCTTCCAGGTAGGAGGATGTACACAGAAGACAACTTTTGCTTCCTATGTACACATGTTTGCGTTGTAATGTTGAAACAAGCTTGGTAGTAATTAGATATCTTTTAATTCCTGCAAAAGTTTGCCGACTCAATCGGATTTTGGCAAACGATACATTTGTACTAAAGGCTCACTTATTTTAAAAAGGTTAATCTAAAGAACAGAGTCAGTTTCACTGATGATGACATTCAAAAATAACACAGTCAAACCTACAATTTCCCCTTTACAGCCAGGCGGGCAGGACTCCGTGCTGAACCATTCCCTCCCCTACTACACAGAACTGTGGACCTGCATGGTCATGGCACACTTCATGTAATGCAGCCCAGGAGAATGGTTTCCCAAAGGTCTTCACATTAATCCCAAGGCCAGGTAATTCTACAGTAATTCCAAGTGGAAAAAAATGAAATGTTTTTATTTTAACATATACTTGTGGAGAAAAAATATCCCACCATTTTACAATGAGGGGAGGAAAGTAAAATGTATTGACCATTTAAAGGCCAAAATCACACCGGGGCAGATAGACAGCAACATGAACCCACTCACCAGCCCACCCAGCTCAGATTCTCTGAATCATTCTCTCCATTCTTCTACACTGCTTGGCCCAAAAACTTCTCAAAGACTTTTCTTCACCTACCCTTGCTGAATAAATGTGTGTAAACATTTACAGTACTCAGATTCAATGAACAGGCAAGGAGATTTAAGAAGGTGGCACGAAGAACACACTATTAAGTTGTCAAGGTTTTCGAAAGGAAACCTCCTATTATCTGAAAGCCTCTTAGCACAGTCAGTACCCATCCCTTCCCTCTACTTCTATGACTGATGCCTTCATCTAAGTCTTTATGGATATTTATAACCTTAGAATTGGGTTAACACTGCAAGTTTTTAGGCTTATCTGAGTGTCACCACATGCTTTTAACAAGGAGCTAACCTGGATGCTAGGTGAGATTTTGATTTGTTCTAGCAACATGGAATAACGCAAGTCCAGGAACTGTCCTCCACACTAGAGGTGCTGAAAGAGCTTCTGACAGGTGGTGATATTGAAAGAACCTCACACTTCTGTTGCTTTCTCATGACCACCAAAAGATGAGTCCACCTTTATCATCCGCATGCTGGTAAAAGAACTACAAGGTCTCACAACTCCACTGCAGTTTTGCAGTTCTGGGGGAACTGCTGCATTGCTGATCCGTGCTGAACTAACTTGTTTCTCCCTCCGGAAAGGCAATCATAAGTTTCTGTTCATCCTCCTGCCGAGCAAGAGAGAAATTACCTCAAGGAGCACAATCTTAGAGGTGTGGTTAACTCCTTGCATCAATGTTAAAGTTCCCAGCAAGGCTGCCCATCACTTACAATCATTATAATGATTTTTATGACTAATGATATACATTTAGCAGTCTTTCTTTCCTGGCTAGTCCTGTACTTGCTTCTATTCAACTGAACCTACCTCAGAAGTAGGAAGCCTGATAGACTGAAGCTATGCTTTTCAGACCTCATGTGACTGAAACTGTTCCAGTTCAGTTTTAAGCCCAGGACCAAACTGGCTCATTTGCTTCGAACCAGATGAAACCATCTCACATATAAAACTGAAGTGGGTGAAACAAAGACAGCCTGTCTCCAAGGATCTCCTTTTCCCTTGCCAGAGCACAGCACCCCTTCGAATTTCAATATTGTCCACTGCTGCTGATTCCTACATCTGGCACAAACAAGGGATGATGCAGCACAGGAGAGGGAGGGAGAGGAGAGACGGGAGTGTGCAGTATGGCACCGTGCTTTGGGTCCTGGGAATGGGTCCCTGCTGGGGAACAGGTGTAACAGACACTAGATTTCAGCTGGACTGCTATCCCAGACAAGAACCAGACCATGTTTTGGTTTGGTTCTGGTTTGGATTAACTAATCCAAGCCAAAACCCCCACTGAAATCAGGCTTGGTTCCTGCATGAGTGAAAAAAGGCAACAATCCCAGCTAACTCGCAGTTCCGTGCCATGCGCTAAGCTCTCACTAGGCAGCACTGTGTGCCACTTCAGGGCTCTGGTCATCTGAACTGCTTCTTCCATTTTGACCAGTCCTGTCCACAGGCAGCTGTTACTGGGATACAGTCCTGCTCCATTAAACCTCTTGCACTTCAACACCAGGCAACCTGCAGGTCAAAGAATCTTCTATTTGCCTCTGGCTGGCATCCCTTGGGAGCTGGTCAGCAAGAGAGCTCTCAATACCTAAACACTAATAGTGTTTTCAAATCTGTGATCCATTTGTGGCCCAGGGAATGAGCCCAGTGGGATCCAGAATGGAGCCCCAAGCCAGATTTTAACAAACCCATTGTGCCACATGCATGCTCCTCCTTGTTCTTCTCTCCTGATTCTTGGAGCACCACGGAAACCCACAGCTGTGATCTCAGGAGCACATCCAAAGTAATAAAAGCATGAATCATACCTTGTAATTACCACCCACCCACAGTCTTCCCCAGGGCAAAACCCAGAGTGAGTGCAGACCCCAGACAGGATCATGACTGTAGGCCAGTCCTAGGGTGATCTTTACCGTACTACATAGCCTGCAGTAAGAAACAGCTCCTGCCTCAACCTGTCTTCACGAATAATGTTTTTTATTAGTTGCACCCTCTTATAGGGGCAACTGATGATTCTTCCTGATGTAATGAGGCGTTTTTGCAGCACAGAGAAGCCACCTCCACTGGTGTAGAGATGCTTATACACCACGCTTGCCACCAAGTGCGATTTCATTAGCTCATTTTCCTTCCCAGGGTCCAAGTCCTGGACATTGTGACCGCTAGCTTCAGTCAGCCCTGCTGTGCACCTGCAGGGTGCCTGGGGTAGGGGTGAAAAACATCAGGGAGATGCTCTCTGCAAAACTCATGCAACAAACCAGAGGAGGACTGGTAATGCAAGATGCAAGAGCAGTGGCCACTGCACATCCAAGTGCCCACAAGCGCAGACGCTCAGTGTAAAAACTGTTTAGCTACCAGTCCTCATGCAGCTCACCGAGTTTGCAGTGAGGCACTGCCCTCAGATTAAGTCTCCTCTGTTTACACACATCTCCTCACACAAGGGCCACATAACCAAATGGGGACCATCCAGATCTATGGGACCACCAGACCCAAGCACAATGAGAGAGGGAGAGCAAAGATGAAATGATGCGGGCCCCAGTAGTTTGTTATTGCAGCTGAATCTTGGAAGGAGCAAATGCAAAAGCCAAAGTGACAGGAATTGCAGCATCAAGTACCTTTTAGATGATAACAAAGAAAAAGATGAGACTAAAAGCTGAGCACAGGAGACTTGCAGTGCTAGGGAAATAGAAGCTTGTATCTAATACCAAGTGATTTTCCTCTTAACACAGTTCATTTTAGGACAGCGCTCACCCTCGCAATGCCAGTCCCACAGCCTGAGGCTGCTCCGATTTAGGCACCTGACTGTTCAGGAACAAACATTTCTCTTTGTGAATAATTTAGATTCCCTTGTTTATTTAGGTTTCATTTGGGCTCTGTTTCTTGCTGTTTGAACCTTCTGAGCTTACAGCTAACTGGGCTGGGGATGTACAGACCCCCTCCGCAGCCCTTCCATTTCTGTAAGGGAACCATCGGTTTCACCCGTAACTCCCCACATACTTTAAGCACATACAGAGCAAGCATAACCCCTGTAACATAACCCCCAAAATATCAGACATTCTCTTTGTTGTTCATCTTGCTGCAAACTGAGATTACTTCCTGCTTTGAGATGCATATTTGACAGTAGCTCCACAAGAGTGCTAAGCACACAAATAACTCTTCTGTGGCAGTGGCAAGCATGTCCAGACCAATAGCTCCAGACTTAAATCAAAATAGACATGGGTATCTGACACTCACGGACACAGCTATGCAACATGAACTCGACACCAACACTGCCACTTGGACAAGCAAACATACCAGCTGAGCTGCAAAGAGACATAACTCTGCAAGTGCAGAAAACAACAGCAAAGCCCCAGCAAGTTGCATTCTGAATGGTGTCAACATCTTGCAGTTGTCAGATATAAAGCATTTCACTGCCTGAACACAGCCTTCTGAAAAGTGTTATTACCACGATTCTTAACAGTGCTCCAGAGATATAAGAAGAAGCCAGGAAAACAGTACAGACAAGTTACACAGCTGTTTCTCAAAGCAGCAATATCCTAAATAGATCTGTTCCAGGCAACGTGCTCACTGTGCAGAGTGGCCGACATGCCTGAGGCACCACCACCTGTACCCCCATCTCAGCCTGTAGTTTGGAGCCCCTTTTCAGCACTGTACACACTACTACATACATGTGCACCCCGCCACACACACCACCCCGAGAGAAACACATTCCTGACTTACCCTTTAGGCAGGCAGCAGCCCCAGACCCTTGGAACCTCCTGCAGAAGAGTTGATGGAGTTTTACCTCGTTACCCAGCGAGGGTGTTATGTAAGTGGCACCGTTTCTGCAGGCAGCGGGGATGCACCAGCCGCGCTTCCCGGCGCGCATCCCTCTCCTCCTCCCCATCCCACATGGACAAGTCTGGCAACGGCTGCACCACGGCCCGCCAGGGAGGGGCAAGGTGGGCTTCAGGGTGCTGGTGGAAAACAAAGCTAATGGAATCAAAGAAAGTTCAAAAGGTGCCTGACATATATTAAAAGGCATTGCTACTATTAAAGGATGCGGTGCAACGGTATCATGTTCCTTAGCCTGCTGAAAGCAGCTTGGCCTAGATTTTCCTGTACTGTTTGATGTGACCATTCATGCAAACAAGAGTAAAACTTTCTCTCTGCTTTTAATTAAGCCAAAAAAAATAAAAAAAATACATGTACAAAAGACCTTTTCCTGCTGTCATCTGGGTCTTCTGAGCTACCGTTAGAGAATATGCAGGAATCAGCCCCATTGATTAAACTATTATTAGCAGTGCAGGACAAACCCCATGCCCTGCACTTCTGGACTAGATGCAGAAAAAAAAACCAAAACAAAACTAAAAGCCAAAAACATTATTTTACCAAAGGCTGAGTTGGTATTTTAGCAAGGAAAAGTGGAAACATTCTCTAGCACACTGGGCAGAAGCAAAGAACACAGCATTTTAATCTGCAGAAATCAAGATAAATAAATGACATTATTGCCTTTGCTCTGTTCTCACAGACAAAACCTGTCCAGCTTTTATAAGACAGGTGATGGTGCCCACGAACCATTGGTGGACACAGCCCACAGCCCACAAATGATAGGGGGTCTAGCTTCAGGACAGACATAAAACTCTTATGTAAGCCATAATCCTCTCACAGACTCCTTATTCAGTGATTTTAAGGTCTGCGCTTTAGGAGCCTGCTGGCATCCCAGTGCTTTTTAACCAATTTGGCAATGGGGAGACTTCAGTTGCAGTCACTGACACCAGTGTTATCGTCAGTGCCCAGCACTACTTCATGGGGTTTTGGATCGTACAGCATTTCTGTACGTGAGTGTTTTGGTCCTCTGCAGAATTGGCACTGTTGCTATCTGTGCTGAGTGAATCACCAGGATTAATCTCCTGCAGGGTTCACTGAGGCTAACGATAATCAAGTTAAATTTACACTATATGATCAGAGTTTAATTAGGTACTGTTATACAACCCCTATTAATTACAGTGATAATACCCTTATGAAATGCAGATGGGAGGGTGGGGCTGTGGTCAAGCAGGGGCTCAGATGACTTTAGGAAAAAGACGCATTAAAATGCTCTGTGTGTACCTTTAGTTACTTGCTTGTCTGTGCCAGTGCTCAAGATGAAACAAAAAGCTTAAAAATATACATATACAATCCTACGAATTGTAAATCTAGAAGACAGGATTAAAGACCTCCCACGTTACCTTTTGTTTACTCCAAGAAGTACGATTGCCATTTAAAATCCCAGAGGCAGAATCATCATTATCTTGCTGTGCTCAAAATCCTACCCAGAAAAGCCTTTGAACTGAGACATTAACTCACTTGAAACCAAGGCAGGTCTTCCCAATATTATTAAAGTTTCTCTCTCCTTCCCTGAGTTTACCTCTCCAGATGAACTGTTGGTCAGAGCAGATACCAGCTCATGTTTGACATTGGTTCTGTACAGGCACAACCTGCCCTAGGACACAGACCCCATGTACGCCTACGTGGCTACTCCTCTTCATGCTCCTGCAGAGCCTTGGGAGGATGCTGTGGGGAGAGGGGACTAACCTGAGCCCCTTGCTGAGCTACTACAAACCAGGGTGTCTCTGCCGATGAGGTGCAGCCAGGGGGACACCGCATCACAAGTGCATGAGCAAGCTCCAGCTTTCAGTTCACACTACTGGCTGTGTTGGGAGACAGATTGCAGAGTGTGAAATTTCAAACCTGAGACTAGGTCTTTATTTTCAGTAAATCTTGCCTGAGGTCTCTTAGAGAAAGAGCAAAGCTTGTGCTGTGTGCTCCGATTTAGCATCTCCTGCATGTGTTGGATGGCTTCAGTGAAACATGCGAAAACCTGTGAGAGACTGTGTGCTGCTGCTGCCACTCACGTGGTAACACCAAAACTCTGGCCTTGCACTCATGTGGTCAAAGATGCAGGCAAAGAGCTCCATTAAATAAATAAGCAACACAAAGAGCAAGGCCTCTTGGCAAGAACAGGTGCTGTTCTTGAACACAGACACCTGTATGAGCCTCCTGCATCCAGGCTCTCGATCCTCTGCAAATCACTGCTCGGTGCCTGTGCCCCAGGGGAACCCCTGGCACTTTGCCATGGCTGCCACTGCTGATTATTTATTTAAAACCCCACAAAATAGGGAACACACTTCCTTCTTCTTTAGGTTTTTTCACCCACTTCACCAGACAGCAGCGAACTAGCAAAACCAGCACACCTCAGCACTCCCACTTTGCACAAAAACATGTAAAACAAGCAGTATGTCACTGCAGCTTATACCAGATATTAATTACCTGGCCCTGCCAGCTACATAATTATATTGTTATATTTTGGTTATAATACACTAAACTGTCCTTTAGCTGGAGGATACTGTGGCATGGGACCAGGAACTGTTCATGAATGCTCTTCAGCTCCCACCCCACCACTACTGTTTCTCGCTCTGTAGGCAGACTGAGATGGGCATCAGGCCTGAACACAGTTCTCACAGTTCACAGACATCACAGAGGTGTATGCTTTAGAAGATCCTTAGTCCCTCCCAGCCCCAGAAGCTCCTAACAAAGACTATGAAAGGACCCTTGCTTTTCTAGAACCACGGGGCTAGCAGAACATCTCAGGTGCCTTGCTGGGATTTTTGCTTGATTTAAGCACAAAGGACTCGCTATTCCTTATTCGTGTAGGGGCTGGCTACAAAGCATAGGTGGGACCAGGATCTTCCCCAAAAAGGGATGCCTTGAGCACCTCCACATCCTCATCTGAGGACAGCAATGCTGTGAGAAGAAAGGTAACAGACTTTGGAGAAGAAAGGTAACAGGCTTTGGCCAAGGCCTTCAGCACTTTATCTGCTGTCATGACACTTTTTGGTCCCTCACTGCTGAGAACGGCACTTGTGACACGCTAACAGGAACACAGCAATGCTCCTGCAGCAAGGCTTTGATTTAGGAAGCAGAGCTGCTCAGCCCACTCTGCTCTTGCTGAAGTAGTGACCTGGTTTTGTCAAGACTGTTTTTCTCCTTTCCTCTTTGATGTCATTTTGGAAGGGAAGTCATAAGATTTTCATGAAGGCATTGACTAAAAGTTGGACTAAAACAAAGCCAATCACAGTACCATTACAAATGAATGAAGGTGCAATTTCCCCTTAAAGGATTATTATACTATTTAGGGTTCGAGCACATTTATTTCCCCAGTTTAATAATCACTTTCACGCTCCTCATTGGACTATAATCTTATCCATTTATAGTTTAATGTAACAAGTTACAAGGATTATCAGCTTGTAATAAATATGCTCATCCCCTAAAGCACTTAAACAGCCACTACACTTTGTAAAGAAAATCTTGCTTAATGAGCAGGTATCTACAAAAGAACAAGGAAACTAATACTATATTATATGAAACACCATCAAACTGCAAAATTCACACTGTGTAAGTCACTTTTCTGTGAAATTAGATTTACTTTGACATGCAGACACTATCTTCATTATAGTACACTTTTAAATTACTTTTTGCATAAGGGAGGGCTTGGAAGCCACAAAGATTGCCCTTTGCATTGGGAATTAATTTATCTTGCACTGTTAAATTTGGAACGATACATTACATTCAGCCTATGCACAGGATTACATCAAACCAATAGATCATTCAATTCAAATTAAAGAAAGCTGTTAATATCAGCTAAAAGGAATCTACCTGAAAAACCCCACCCGACTTGTACTTAGGTCAGTTCTAGTGCTGAAGCATCCATGAAACCATGCTCGCTGATGCCAGCTGAAAGCCACTCTCTTTGTCAGAGCAAGTTCAAAAGCTCTCTTGGCCTACTGGCCTGTGGTCATCAATCACAGTATTTTTCTACTTGCAGTTGTCTTGAGAAGGGATGGGAGAAACTAAATATTACTTGTCAAGCTATAAAGACATTCCGTGCCTATTCATAATGCTGCCCAATATAGCAGAATTGTCTCACCTAGACTGCTAGTATCAGCTGAAAAAGTCCTGAGTTTACAAGGCAAGACAATTAACTACCCTCCAGAGTTTTCACTCTTTGAACTTCAACACACAGCTCAACTTCTCATTTCTGCCAGGTGGAATTTCTTCTTCCTCCCACATGCCATGTCTGCCAAAAGTGTTTTTCCTCCACTGAAAAATGTGAAGTTGATGGTCTAGGCTGCTTTAATCCTTTATTCTTGCAGATGCATGTTCCATTTAACATCCTGTGGGGTATAAACCTTAAGCCTATACTGGACTCAGTCAATCACTTGCACTTCTGCAGGTTCTAGAACTAGTTCAAGAACTCCATTCTCAGCATCACACATCACACATCCAGGAAAACAGAAGTGTTGCAAAACCTCCAAAACCTTTTTAACAGGAATTTATAATAGATAGCTTGTCCTGAGCTGGAGTCGTACTGAAAGAAGCTTGTAGCTCTGGCTGATTGAGACTACGGACATTTCTGTTCTGCAGCCAGTTCCTCCCACCCCATAAGATGGGGAAGGGAAGAGATAGCAACACATGGGGTTTCTACTGTTTCTGGAAAATCAGTCTCAACAGTCTTTTCTTAGTCATCCCAGTATCTGCAAGGCACAGATGGTCAGAAGACCTTTGCCCAGTTAAAAAAGCCCAATGCAAAACCACAAACAAGAAATTGGCTACCTTTCATGCAGTGAACTGTACTGATCAAGCTCTCCTTTCCTTTCAGCTGCAGTGCATGGTGCATCATGCCACAAGGCCATACCTAATTTTGGCTTTAAACAAACTTTGCTGTATTAACATGGGAGTCAGCTCCAGCAAAGGGTGCCTTATCACAGCATGGGACTTCAGCAGCAGCACTGACTTGAAGCACCTACATCCATCCTCCACACTACATTCTCAGTTACACCTGCACAACAATTTGCAGGACAATTTCATCAGTCAGAATGCAAATAGAGAATGGTTTTATCCTAGATCAGTGTAGCACCTTCATACATCCTGGTACTCTCCACCTGCAGGATTAACAGGCCTGAAGACAAAACATTACACGTCTCTGCCTTCTGCTGTCTTTTCATGTATCAGAGCCACAAAACTTCTGGCATCACCATGAAGGTATAAACACACCAGACTAGGATCACTGCGAACATGAATAATAAATTAAATCTAATGCTATTTTCTTCACTTAGT